TTAGTAAATAAGTAACTATTTTAAAAATCCGTTGAAATCACAATTTTAAATAATTTTTCCCAATTTTGAAATGATTTTAGCATTTCCAATTTTGTTTACGAGTCACATTGGTTCAATGATATTGAATTATACAATTTTACAATTCAAGTCGCGCTTTTAACAACATTGATATGTAGTTCTTATAAAACATATAGTGATTTTAACAATCTTGATTTGTAGCTTTTATAAAACATATATTGAGATGAATAAAGAAATATTATGGAGTATAAAATAAATACTTTCACTTTTTAGATGGAATATATGTAGAAACTTTAAAACACAACAAGATAATAAAAAGTAATGTCATGTGTTGAATAATGATCATAATTATAACTAAATAATACTACGTATTATGTATGAGATTGTAATACAATAACAATTATCTTCATTAGACAAGATATGTTAGGGATGAAAGAATACTTATTTGGTAGTTTTATACTACGTACTAATAATTGGTGTATCTCTAAGAGACTAACAATTATCATACATGTATTCTAATATAATTCTATATCATGTTTTTATTTTTAGACAATAAGTATGTATATACACATTACTCATGAAATAAATTATTTGTAAAAATAAATTGATTTCATTTGTTCTCCTTGCAACGCACGGGTGGATTGACTAGTGTAAAAAAAAAAGTAGCAATATATTAGAAAAATTCTAAGAATATACTAACATCAATTATTCATTGGCTTTTTCCGACCTATGGTTATATGGGAAAATTTCCCAAGTAAGACCAACTCATGGTTGACTTCCAGAAATAGGATCGATACAACTTATTCTACAACCGAATATTAATTAATTGGACTAATAGTAGTCCTCCCAATAAAAAGTTAAAGGACAACACCAACGAACTCATCCATGTGCTTCGTTATGAGGATGTTAAAGTTAGATTTCTTATTTGTATTATTTTAAACTCATCGTTTGTATTAGCATAATTTAACGTACGTTTTCTTTTATAATAAATGTAGTTTAGACCATCAATAAAATCATTTAAAGCTTTCAATAATTTGCAATAACTTTTGATTGCATTTAAAATCATGAAACCCTTCGTCATTCCTCTAAAATATGACACTTGGAGATGATGTTTTTCAGCTGGGGGATTTAACTCTTTTTTACTACAATACAGTGATGAATTAATATGAGGAACGACACTCGGGATACATCATTTTTGTGTGAAGAAAGATATGCGAAATCAGAAAAGTATGCCGATAAACAAAAATAATAATTTTAAACACTTATGTTTCATAAATAAGGATCATATGAAGCGGAGCACAAAGAAGCAAGAAACGAAGGTGTCAAAAGAGGTTTGGCGAAACCGCCAATAAGAATGCCATAAGGAACAACATTCCTCTTAGGTCTCTTCTTTTTGTTCCCCATTTGGAACCCCTTATCCCATCACGTGAAATGATATTCTGGACTTCCACATCCCCCCAGACCAGTGAGTGACCCGTTATAGACACTGGGTTGCGGGTCAACCGAGTTTACCCACGGATCACATGGGTCTGGTTTAATTTAATGGCTCGCTTGTATATTTACTCTGTATAATCAATGGTCGGCTACGACCTTCTGGTTTCTTTCTGGTTTTCTCGCTTCATCTTCCCAAGTCCCACTCATATCCCAATTCCCAAACTCTACATATCGACTCTTGATATCTCCAAACCTGCCCTCAACCCATTTCTCGCCTCTTCCCCTACCCAATCGTCTCCTTCTTTCATTTGAGATCCTTTGTCGTACATCAGAGTGCCTTGTGACAACCGATGATGAGATGGTAAAGAAGATGCCTTTGAGGAATTTCAGGATAATTATTAGAGGAGCGTGAATAAAAATCCATTGGTATCCATCTTCTTGCATATATGCTTTCGTTAAGTTTTTATTATTATCGAACATCAGAATCGTTTCTGGGAAATAAAAGTGGTAGACCATTCTTCAATACTTTTCATAACATCTGCAATTTATGTCGATTGCTCAAGGAGTCCAATTTAATCCGGGTTTGACTGGTTTTACCTGGTTACGACCGGTTTAAGTCTTTAGACAAGTTTTTGCCGGATTTTGGTGTATTCCAGTTTAAGGCTTGTATTGGACCGGTAACTTGACCAGGACGTCGGTTTTCCGGGATAACCTGACCGGTCCAGTTTGGATTCTTAAACATAGCAAAACACCTAACTATTTAGTAATAAATTATCATCTCCAATAACTAGTGACGCCATCATAACAATGACTCAATTCAAATTCGAAATCCTTAGTGGCCAACTGCCAATGACTTTGACGGTCTAGTGACTCCTGTGTGACTAATGACCTACCACTATAATGACCTGCATGCCCACGAGTGTAGTTGCCTGACCCAGTGGTAGTGCAAAACTAGTGATTGAGCTTCCTAGTAACCTAATGCTTCAGTGACCTGACGTCGTGAACGATTCCAGAAATACAGTGACCTAACCGCTTGTGTGACTTCCACCTCTCCAATGACACACCGTCGTAGGTAACCCCGCCACCAGCCAGGCACCCTCGCCACTTTTGAGCCACTATCGCCCAACACTCTCCCAAACCCTACCCCCCACCACTCTGCCACCCCCAACCACCGCCTTATTCTCATGCATTGTCATTTCTCACATTGCCCTACCCTAACACATTGCCCTGAGCCATAACCAAACTCCTCTCCCAGCTACTGCCATGATCCCAAGCCCCTCACCATTTCTCTCACCACCGCCTTAAAACCCTACAACATTCCATCTCCAATCCATACTCAAACCCCTCCCCCAACCCTTCTATACCACCCTTACCCCGACCATTACTCTTCCTCGTAACTTCCACAGGAAAATGTAGTCGTACTACCATAGTTATTGCCCTAAAAGGCAAGTGTGCCACCACCACGACATTCCTAGTTGTCTAAACGTCATCTACATAAATAAAACCAAAAATGCTCTGATTTGAATTTTTAGCTTCCCAAATAAAATTCTAGTGCCACCTTAATGTGAAAACCTAGTTCTTACGGAGCCAAAACCATGCCTCATCCACTCCCTGCGCCATTTCTCCCACCAACGCCCTAACACCCTGCCCCAACCTTTCCCCTAACTATTGCTCTAACCCCCTATCCCCCGCCATTTTCTCCCACCACCACCCAACATCTTACCCAAGCCCTCCTTAGTCCTTACCCCAAAACCGCCCCTGCCATTGTGCTTATGTACCACTACCACATGAAACCCCTAGTTGTATTACCACCGTCGATCGTCATCCTAAAAGGCAATCATACCACCATCGCACGTTCACATATGTCTAATCGTCGATGCAGCCACAAAAAAAAAACATAGGTGTTTCGATCAAAACCCATATCTCCTCAATCAAAATTATAGCACCACCATAACATGAAAACCTAATTCCAATCAAGACATCGTTACAGATTCAAAGGTGTTTACACAGATGGGGGGGAAATATTCAACCTAGCTGGATTCCCTAGAAGCCGGGGGACTCATCGTTACCTCTCCTATCTAGTATCATGTCATTTGCAAGAAGCCTATGCCCATTAGCCATCCCCATGAATGGACATAAAGAGAACAAAAGAATTGTGTAGGATAGATGAGTGGATGCATGAATGTCATCGGAGAAAATGATATGAATATCAGCAACAACGGCAAGTAGCGAATTCGGGCCGGGGGAGGTGGTTACCAACAAAGGCGCCCAATAATAGATGAACGCGAAAAAGGGATAATTATTTGGGAGTCTAGCTTATTAATACAATATGTTGGTGTGCTTATTGAAGATATTTTCATATAATTTGTTACACAGTTTTTCTTTAGAAATTTAGCTATCCTATAACTAAAACTCATTGTCTTTGTTATAATATGAATTTAGTGTTTTACCATAAAATATGTCTTACGCACATGACCAACCAAATTAGTATTTCATTCTATTGTTGCCCTTCATTGATCCCTATGTTGATCGTAATGTATAGTTATTGCATTCTATAGTTTTCATTTAAATACCATAACTGTTTTGACATTTATTAAATTTTCACTAAAATATGAAGTCATATATTCTCTTGGTTAGAAGTATGTTGCACTTCATAAGTCACTTCTCTAGCACAGATTCCATTCTGTATCATTCATTTTTTGAATTTCACCATTTTCACGTTCTCCAACCTTTTCCATTTTCTTCAACATTGATTTTTTCATCGGGTCATGCAGTGAGAGCAGTGATTTTTATTGATCTTTTCACCTAGTGCAATATTTTTTCGTACTACATAAACAACGTACAACAATGTTCAATTGCAAGTCATCTTTGCCCTCTAAAACATGTGTTGCACATGAATGTTTGTATTCCTAGATCAAATAATAAAACATCAAGACACACACTTGTTTATTATCCTTAGTAAGACATGCATGTCATACCATACAATATAAAGCATTGTACTTATTGCCAATGTTAATGCATTACACAAATAATCTATAATGCACAAATTACATATACACTTGGTCGTCTTAATTGTTATTTATATTACCGATCTAATTATATAAAAAATAATACGGAGTAAAAACTAATTTACTGCATGCATTTTATTAGTTAAATAATTGCACAAAGAATCCACAATACATAAGTTTATAATGCACTAATTAGTGCAATATATTAGTGCAATATAGTAAAGATCAACATCATCAAAAAGCCACTGCATCATTGCATGATTCGGAAGAAAAAGAAAATTCATGGTTGGAGAAGATAAAAATGGTGAAAAGCAAGCTACACACGTGAATTATCATATGAAACATGCTTGTAATCAAGATAATAGATGCTAACCTATTTTAGTGGAAATCTAATAAATGAGATATCAAAATGGGAAAATCAAGAGATGTGTTTCGCCCTTTTTTTTTTACTAAACACGTTTTTGAGGTCTTTTTGATCATTTAATTCCATCATATTTTCGTGGGCTATTTATTTAATGCATTTCTAGTCATTAAATGGGAGGTTTTTTCAAAAATACTACTAAAATGTAACTTATTCACAAAAAAAAAACATGACTAACAGTTACTACAATATAAATAATTATATTCTAATAGTCATTCAAGTGTAAAAGTTAAAAATAAGTTATTATGACTAAGTTACTATTATAGTCGCTACACTACTTAGGAGGCCATATTTTTGTACATAACAATTAGAAGGGCCAACAAACTTTGAAAGCCTCTCAACTTCTTTGATTCCTGACTCTTGTGTGGCCATATATATTTCAAAGTCCTCTCTTATAACATCTTTATGAATTGGTGGCAGTAAAGCAGACTTGGAAACAAACATATGGGCAGAAGCAGATAGAGCAGCCTGTTTCAAGGAACATGCATGTAAACACAATTAACATATACAAATAAGATAAACAGTCCCATGGAACATACATGTTACTTACATTCGTCTCAGACTCCGTTATGACTCCACTATTACTTAAAGTGCTTGAGCTCTCAATTTGTGATTCCATTGTAACTTCTATATTTGGACTGTTCTTTTTTCTCCGCACCTGAAATATATAAATCATATGTTCAAATAAAAGATATTATTAACACATGAACTTTAAATGTGGTTATATAAAATTACCTTCAATTTGTCACCCTTTTGCTTCCGCTTCTCACAAGTGGCAGAGTTATGACCTTCAACACCACACTTTTTACACTTAACGGTGTTCTGTTTCCGCTTTAGCTTAACAATGGTTTTGGAAGAAGACTTTTTCTTCTTTTGAGATGTTGGCTCATCAGGTTCTTTTCTTCTTGCTTTGGATGGTCTACCTACTCCTCTACCAAAATTTGGAGGCAATGGTGGAATATAGTTGCTCTTATCCCATAGTTCCTCTCCATTTATCCCAAGAATCACGTGTTGATAAATACTCTTGTACACTTCAACTGTGTAACATTCATGCACATAATCTTCTGGATCCTCATCTTGATTATATATTGCACTGATAGCATGTTTACAGGGGATACCACTCAGTCCCCACCCTCTACATGAGCAGCTCCTCTCATTCATGTCACGCCCCAGACCGCGTCTGTGCCACGTGGACAACCGTCGTACAACCCAATAAGAATAACCACAGTCCATCCTTACCGAATTGCACAAGACGTCCGATAGATACATATGCCAAAACCGATTAGTAAACATACATAACAACATCAACATACAATTAAACACATAGCGGAATATAAGTGTTTAATAAGAACCCACACAAGGGTAAAACAAGAGCTCGCAGGCTCTATTAATTTATAAGTCAAAATAGTTCCATGAGCATTATTTAATTATTTAAAAATAGAACGAGAGGAAGCACGAACCACGTCTTCTCTCCATTGATCTCCCGAGCAACGGGTGCAGGAAGTAAGCTCTAGCTTCAACCTGAAAGGGTGGTTCCCCCGAGGGATCAGTACTACAGAAAAGTACTGGTGAGGGCAAACTGTATGTAATGTAACTAACGTTTCTCACGTGAGACCCTCAAAATAGGGTGATAGTATAATTATGGGCATAACTCTTAGCTACCCCTTTTCAAACCAAAATGTATACATATATACATATGAGTAAAATATCTGGCCCGTGGGCCCTTTGTCTTTCAAATCATTTAGGCGTAACAGCCTCATTAAATTCATCCTTCCCATGCCTTACCCTCGAGTGGAGTCACCCGCGGGCTAACTCACTCGATACTAAAATATAATTACTGTGGGGCCCTTCGGACTCCCATATCACAGACATGGTTTAAATCAATCCCTAGACCAAGGAAAATATTATATCGGGAACTCGTTCCCGATCAAGCACGTTTAATCATTTAAAATCATTACTTCGAGGTTCACCTACCTCGAGGACTATCCGTCCTTGCTATCATAGTTTTCATTTCCGGGTTAACCCCGCCTCAAGGAGTACGCATACACCCTCATCCTATGTGTAATTTACTGGAGGTTAACACACCTCAAGGACTACACAGGCCCTTGTTACCTATATGCACTTTGATGGAGGTTAACACACCTCAAGGACTGCATTTGCCCTTGTTAACTATATGCAATTTGATGGAGGTTAAACACACCTCAAGGACTGCACTTGCCCTTGTTACCTATATGCAATTTGATGGAGGTTAAACACACCTCAAGGACTGCATTTGCCCTTGTTACCTATATGCAATTTGATGGAGGTTGAACACACCTCAAGGACTGCATTTACCCTTGTTACCTATATGCAATTTGATGGAGGTTGAACACACCTCAAGGACTGCATTTGCCCTTGTTACCTATATGCAATTTGATGGAGGTTAAACACACCTCAAGGACTGCATTTGCCCTTGTTAACGTTTGAGTGTAGAGGACTCCTCCTGGTCCTACAGAGTATTATATAACCTTACTTGGTCCCGGGTATTCACCCGCCATTTATAATCTACCACGTGCCTCGCCCGGTCGTGGTCTATAATTTCTTTACTAACGACTAGTCCAAGTCTTAGCGTTTAAACCGTATTCCAAGCCTTATCATTTTAAACATCATATTTCATGCAATTCTATGCAAAATATTCATATATAGGATGACCAGAATTAATCCCACGTCGAACCGGGTCCGATTTGGGTTTTTAGCAAAAATCAGTCCTGAAAGCCGAGACATAACCGGCGCCGGTTTTACCCATAACCGGCGCCGGTTTACTGATTTTTTTGTAGTAAACCGAACCATAACCGGCGCCGGTTTTGCCTATAACCGGCGCCGGTTATCCCTTGGGCAACCGGTCAACATTTTGGTCAACGCCCGTTTGACCATCCAAACGGGGTCCGATTTTCACGAAATTTTATACACTTATGCAACAAGTCATTCCTAGTCCAAAAATATTATTTTGGACGTCCAAATCATCACACATAATTTATAATCATTTTCTGTCCAAATTAAAGCATATTAAATACACTTATTAATACTATTAATAAGTAAATCTTTCCTTAATACATTCTTAGATGTATTTAATATTTCATGGAATATCATTCTGTTTTATTTGAGTAATCTCATGCCCAAGCCCAAATCATGGCTCATGATCCTTTCTTACAACCTTTTATTCATACCATTAATTGATTAATCATTAATTATGCCATATTTCCATAATCCATAATTAATATGACTAATCACATATCACATATCTTTTTATATTTCTTTACTAGATAACTCTAGTTAATCACATACACGGTTCAAGTATACCTTCTTATTCATTTAAGAAAAATATACTCATGATTAATTAATAAATTAATCTATTTTTTTATTTATCATATAATACTTCCATAATCCATATTTAATATGGATAATCACAACTTTACAACCCTTTTATATTCACTTACTAGATTATTCGAACTTATCTCATACATGGTTCAAGTATATCCTCTTATGCATTAAGAAATATATACTACGTACTAATGATTAATTAATAAATTAATCTATTTTTTTCATTAGTCATATACACCATGACTAATCATGCATTTTAATCCATTTCATCATTTCTCAAATCATGGTTATGATTTTATTTAGGTAATCCCACGTTTGAACCAAGAGTTACAAGACACGTAGTCGTCCACTCACCTCGAAATGACGCTAACAAGCTTTTATCCTCTTTGTTTGAACTCCGGTGACTTTTGGAATTTTCCGGCAAAACTCCGGCGGCTCCGGCGACTTCCCGGCCACTCCTAGATTCCTCGAGAAGTCTAGAATACCTTGGTAAAATTCCTAACAAGTTTTCACAACCAAAAGTAGTATAAATGTCAAAACCTTCCGAGAAGGTGTTTCCCGGTGAACCGGTCTTACTCCGGCCATAACTCCGTTCATGGTTAAACTTAACCTTCCAAACCCTCATTCAACACCTCTAGAAGTGTATCATATGATTTATAAAATCATATGAGATTAAATGAAGGAAGAAAAATACTAATGAAGTCATTACCTTAATTTTTCTAAGTTTTTCTTTTCTTTCCCAAGCCTTTCTTCTTCCTTGAGTCTTCTTCAACCTTGAGCTCGGTTTTTTCTTGGCTATGGAGGTGTGTTTGCAGATGTTCTTCTCCTCTTGATGGTGCTGGCCGAGTGGGTGATTGGGGGGAAGAGAGATTGATGCATTTTGGCTCATACCACCAATAATAATAAAGGAAAAGGGTCCACATATGTCTCTCATTCATGCTTATCACTTCAAGTCAACTTCTCATCTCCTTCCTACCATTGTACAGCCATCCTTTTGTCTACTTTGCTGAATAATTTCGTAGGGTGGCCCCCACCCATGTGGGAGGTCATCCCTTTATGTCCCAAAGTGTACATTCGGTCCCGAAAGTTGTATTTTCTGGACTGTTTTAATTATATTTTATTTAATCGGGTCAAATAAAATATATATCATTCTTCCAATTAATATTGGCTTCTAAAATGATTATATATTACCCAACTTTAATTTAGTGGTCCCCAGAATTTATTTCGGGCTGTTATCTGATTAATTACCTATACTGGTAATGGGACCTCGTTTGTTCGAAAGACCAACTTTATGGCTCAACATTTATTTACAACCTCATATAAATATTATCTAGACCAAGATGAATATAATATGTGGTCCGTAAATATCGGATGGTCCCCGCCCATGTGTGGGCCCAACGTGCCTTTTACCGTTCAAGTAGCGGTAAAAATGAGAATAAGTTACTTTAAAAATTCATTCATCATTCCTAATGACTAAATATGTGTTTTCATATTTTGTGACACTTTAATAAAATGTCACACTTATTTTTAAGTGGTCCCAACTGTATAAGCAGATAAAATCTTATCTGTTTATTCTTATACAAAAATATCTTCAAGGTAGGGTCCTCCAAAAGTACCCACCTCTAACATGTCAAGTTGCTCATTATTATCCACCATCCCATGTTTTGGGTTCTTAAAATATTTATATTCCTTCTTATTAATTCGTAGCCTTCCGAATTATTATCAGTCCGATAATTAATGATTCACAATTATCGGATAGTGACCCCGGCCCGCTTGGCCATCTAGTTGTCATTCCTTATATCACTGGGGTCCATGACCCATCCCTACTATCATAATAGTATCATTTTGGAAAACAATAATATTTTATAAACTTGAAATACCACGTGTGGTCCCACGTCTAAATTAATAACCCTTTATTAATTTAGGACAAAATTTTACTTTCTCATTTATCGAGACTACTCTTAGTCTTGATTTACCTTCTTTAACCAAGTACTTTACGAAAAAAATTTATCTGGGTAAAATTCGGGTCCGGTGTTACAAGTTCACCCCACCTTACAGGAATTTCGTCCCCGAAATTAACGTCTGAACCTTGAGAAACATTTCTCCCTTCATTATCTGAAGCTAACAATTTTGAAAATAAAAATATTTATGGAAATTAAGGTTTAATTTAATAATACCTTGTGCCATAGTCGGGCCTAACAAATGGCTTCCGCCATTGCCGGCCTTCACGAGCGAGTTCGCCATTGACTTGTAGAAGGTACCATGTTTGAGGCAACCCTAGTTGGGTTTTCAACCCCCGTGACCCCTCCTCTAGCTCCTGATGTTCCTTCACGCGTACGTTGAGGACAAAGGACCTTGATGTGGCCTGTTTCTCCACAAAAGTAGCATCTAGATGGCTCTCGACATCTACCGTAGTGCCTTCGCCTACAATTCTCGCATTTGGGTGCCCCCGTGCCTCGAGTGCTTGAGCTTTGATTTACCAAGTCCTGGCTCTCACTGAAAAACGGAACTGACTTGTTAGAGTTCCCCTTGCTCTGAAGTTCATACTTCCCCTCTCGTCGTGGAGGGTGAACGATCGCCTGATCTCTTTCTTGTGCTTCCTTTGCATCCCTTGCTTGCCTTTCCTTCCAAAGCTCCTCCCCCTGGAGACCCTGGGCTACTACTTCACTAAAAGTCATGTTGAATTGGTAGGTCGCTCTTTCGCGTATTTCCAAATTGAGTGCATTCCAAAAATGGTTTGCCATTCGGTTCTCATTTGCGGCATACTCAGGCAAAAACCTTGCCAGATGTCGGAATCTTTGTTCCAGTTGCTTCACCGTAAACTCATTTCCCTGTTTGAGATCGATATATTCCCTCCTCTTTCGATTTACTTCGAAAGAGGTGTAAAACTGCTCATAGAATGCTTGCTCGAAGTTGTCCCACGTGACAACCCCGTCAAACTTACCCTTGGTGCCTTCCCACCAAGTAGAAGCTAAACCCTCCAATAATCTAGTAGCTACCCTTAACTTTCGTTCAGGGACCACTTGCATGTCATCAGCTGCATCATTTAACCTTTTTATCCACTCGGCTGCTTCCGATATGTCCCCCGTTCCATCAAATGGCTTGCACATCAAGGCTCTAGCCTCTTTGAGGTACTTCGAGATCTTAAAGAATGGTCCTTCGCCATCAGAATCTCTGACTGTCCTAACCTGTGCTCTATGAGCACCCTGACCCCTCATGAGAGAGGTCTCGCCTCTGACATGTCCCTCCTGAGATCCCTGTCGTTGTCTTCCCCTTTCACGTTGGTACCATCGGTACATCTTGCTAACATGTTCGGGAGGAATACTTTGTATATCCTCTCCACTGTTTTCCTGAAAAGAAGTTTCATCTGACTCGCTTTCAGGGTGATAAGTTGAGTCATCATCCGAGTTCCACGACTCGAATTCAGTCACGTTGTGATCAGCCATCGTGGCTCGTGTTCGTGGGCCTTGATTGCCCATACCTCGCCTTTTACGCGACCTTGATATCCCCCGATTGGCTTGCCCGGCTATCCCCGGTGCGCGCCCTCTCGGATTTCCTCGAACCGCCCTATCACTACCACCCATTCCTGAAAGAATATGTTGGAATGAGTCTTTAGATTCGTTTGAATGTCAATTGACAGAAACGTACTCAAGACACAACTTGGCTCAAGTCTCTGCCATACCAATTGTTAAGGGGCCCATCTTAACAACTAGAGACTTGCAACTCGATAACCAAATGCTCTTAAAGTACAAAACGTAACTTATGCTCATGGTTTTTCATTGAAAACTGTTTTGATAGAAACTCTGTTGAGAGGTTGACTATATAGTTTAGAAATCGTTTGGCTCTGATACCACTTAATTGTCACGCCCCAGACCGCGTCTGTGCCACGTGGACAACCGTCGTACAACCCAATAAGAATAACCACAGTCCATCCTTACCGAATTGCACAAGACGTCCGATAGATACATATGCCAAAACCGATTAGTAAACATACATAACAACATCAACATACAATTAAACACATAGCGGAATATAAGTGTTTAATAAGAACCCACACAAGGGTAAAACAAGAGCTCGCAGGCTCTATTAATTTATAAGTCAAAATAGTTCCATGAGCATTATTTAATTATTTAAAAATAGAACGAGAGGAAGCACGAACCACGTCTTCTCTCCATTGATCTCCCGAGCAACGGGTGCAGGAAGTAAGCTCTAGCTTCAACCTGAAAGGGTGGTTCCCCCGAGGGATCAGTACTACAGAAAAGTACTGGTGAGGGCAAACTGTATGTAATGTAACTAACGTTTCTCACGTGAGACCCTCAAAATAGGGTGATAGTATAATTATGGGCATAACTCTTAGCTACCCCTTTTCAAACCAAAATGTATACATATATACATATGAGTAAAATATCTGGCCCGTGGGCCCTTTGTCTTTCAAATCATTTAGGCGTAACAGCCTCATTAAATTCATCCTTCCCATGCCTTACCCTCGAGTGGAGTCACCCGCGGGCTAACTCACTCGATACTAAAATATAATTACTGTGGGGCCCTTCGGACTCCCATATCACAGACATGGTTTAAATCAATCCCTAGACCAAGGAAAATATTATATCGGGAACTCGTTCCCGATCAAGCACGTTTAATCATTTAAAATCATTACTTCGAGGTTCACCTACCTCGAGGACTATCCGTCCTTGCTATCATAGTTTTCATTTCCGGGTTAACCCCGCCTCAAGGAGTACGCATACACCCTCATCCTATGTGTAATTTACTGGAGGTTAACACACCTCAAGGACTACACAGGCCCTTGTTACCTATATGCACTTTGATGGAGGTTAACACACCTCAAGGACTGCATTTGCCCTTGTTAACTATATGCAATTTGATGGAGGTTAAACACACCTCAAGGACTGCACTTGCCCTTGTTACCTATATGCAATTTGATGGAGGTTAAACACACCTCAAGGACTGCATTTGCCCTTGTTACCTATATGCAATTTGATGGAGGTTGAACACACCTCAAGGACTGCATTTACCCTTGTTACCTATATGCAATTTGATGGAGGTTGAACACACCTCAAGGACTGCATTTGCCCTTGTTACCTATATGCAATTTGATGGAGGTTAAACACACCTCAAGGACTGCATTTGCCCTTGTTAACGTTTGAGTGTAGAGGACTCCTCCTGGTCCTACAGAGTATTATATAACCTTACTTGGTCCCGGGTATTCACCCGCCATTTATAATCTACCACGTGCCTCGCCCGGTCGTGGTCTATAATTTCTTTACTAACGACTAGTCCAAGTCTTAGCGTTTAAACCGTATTCCAAGCCTTATCATTTTAAACATCATATTTCATGCAATTCTATGCAAAATATTCATATATAGGATGACCAGAATTAATCCCACGTCGAACCGGGTCCGATTTGGGTTTTTAGCAAAAATCAGTCCTGAAAGCCGAGACATAACCGGCGCCGGTTTTACCCATAACCGGCGCCGGTTTACTGATTTTTTTGTAGTAAACCGAACCATAACCGGCGCCGGTTTTGCCTATAACCGGCGCCGGTTATCCCTTGGGCAACCGGTCAACATTTTGGTCAACGCCCGTTTGACCATCCAAACGGGGTCCGATTTTCACGAAATTTTATACACTTATGCAACAAGTCATTCCTAGTCCAAAAATATTATTTTGGACGTCCAAATCATCACACATAATTTATAATCATTTTCTGTCCAAATTAAAGCATATTAAATACACTTATTAATACTATTAATAAGTAAATCTTTCCTTAATACATTCTTAGATGTATTTAATATTTCATGGAATATCATTCTGTTTTATTTGAGTAATCTCATGCCCAAGCCCAAATCATGGCTCATGATCCTTTCTTACAACCTTTTATTCATACCATTAATTGATTAATCATTAATTATGCCATATTTCCATAATCCATAATTAATATGACTAATCACATATCACATATCTTTTTATATTTCTTTACTAGATAACTCTAGTTAATCACATACACGGTTCAAGTATACCTTCTTATTCATTTAAGAAAAATATACTCATGATTAATTAATAAATTAATCTATTTTTTTATTTATCATATAATACTTCCATAATCCATATTTAATATGGATAATCACAACTTTACAACCCTTTTATATTCACTTACTAGATTATTCGAACTTATCTCATACATGGTTCAAGTATATCCTCTTATGCATTAAGAAATATATACTACGTACTAATGATTAATTAATAAATTAATCTATTTTTTTCATTAGTCATATACACCATGACTAATCATGCATTTTAATCCATTTCATCATTTCTCAAATCATGGTTATGATTTTATTTAGGTAATCCCACGTTTGAACCAAGAGTTACAAGACACGTAGTCGTCCACTCACCTCGAAATGACGCTAACAAGCTTTTATCCTCTTTGTTTGAACTCCGGTGACTTTTGGAATTTTCCGGCGAAACTCCGGCGGCTCCGGCGACTTCCCGGCCACTCCTAGATTCCTCGAGAAGTCTAGAATACCTTGGTAAAATTCCTAACAAGTTTTCACAACCAAAAGTAGTATAAATGTCAAAACCTTCCGAGAAGGTGTTTCCCGGTGAACCGGTCTTACTCCGGCCATAACTCCGTTCATGGTTAAACTTAACCTTCCAAACCCTCATTCAACACCTCTAGAAGTGTATCATATGATTTATAAAATCATATGAGATTAAATGAAGGAAGAAAAATACTAATGAAGTCATTACCTTAATTTTTCTAAGTTTTTCTTTTCTTTCCCAAGCCTTTCTTCTTCCTTGAGTCTTCTTCAACCTTGAGCTCGGTTTTTTCTTGGCTATGGAGGTGTGTTTGCAGATGTTCTTCTCCTCTTGATGGTGCTGGCCGAGTGGGTGATTGGGGGGAAGAGAGATTGATGCATTTTGGCTCATACCACCAATAATAATAAAGGAAAAGGGTCCACATATGTCTCTCATTCATGCTTATCACTTCAAGTCAACTTCTCATCTCCTTCCTACCATTGTACAGCCATCCTTTTGTCTACTTTGCTGAATAATTTCGTAGGGTGGCCCCCACCCATGTGGGAGGTCATCCCTTTATGTCCCAAAGTGTACATTCGGTCCCGAAAGTTGTATTTTCTGGACTGTTTTAATTATATTTTATTTAATCGGGTCAAATAAAATATATATCATTCTTCCAATTAATATTGGCTTCTAAAATGATTATATATTACCCAACTTTAATTTAGTGGTCCCCAGAATTTATTTCGGGCTGTTATCTGATTAATTACCTATACTGGTAATGGGACCTCGTTTGTTCGAAAGACCAACTTTATGGCTCAACATTTATTTACAACCTCATATAAATATTATCTAGACCAAGATGAATATAATATGTGGTCCGTAAATATCGGATGGTCCCCGCCCATGTGTGGGCCCAACGTGCCTTTTACCGTTCAAGTAGCGGTAAAAATGAGAATAAGTTACTTTAAAAATTCATTCATCATTCCTAATGACTAAATATGTGTTTTCATATTTTGTGACACTTTAATAAAATGTCACACTTATTTTTAAGTGGTCCCAACTGTATAAGCAGATAAAATCTTATCTGTTTATTCTTATACAAAAATATCTTCAAGGTAGGGTCCTCCAAAAGTACCCACCTCTAACATGTCAAGTTGCTCATTATTATCCACCATCCCATGTTTTGGGTTCTTAAAATATTTATATTCCTTCTTATTAATTCGTAGCCTTCCGAATTATTATCAGTCCGATAATTAATGATTCACAATTATCGGATAGTGACCCCGGCCCGCTTGGCCATCTAGTTGTCATTCCTTATATCACTGGGGTCCATGACCCATCCCTACTATCATAATAGTATCATTTTGGAAAACAATAATATTTTATAAACTTGAAATACCACGTGTGGTCCCACGTCTAAATTAATAACCCTTTATTAATTTAGGACAAAATTTTACTTTCTCATTTATCGAGACTACTCTTAGTCTTGATTTACCTTCTTTAACCAAGTACTTTACGAAAAAAATTTATCTGGGTAAAATTCGGGTCCGGTGTTACAATTCAAGTCAATACAGAATTGGGTCCCATCAAACGAGGAAACCTGATAATGCCTATCACTACACTTGATAGGGATACAATCTGATGCCCATTCAGCATGCTTCTGTATTATTTTTCGAATCCTGGGGCATACTCTACCCTTCCATCTTCTACTTGCTCTGTCCCTATTCTCTTGAAGCCTCTTCATCAAATACTCTCTTATCCACTCAAACATTGTGATCACAGGTTGGTCTCTAGCATCTAATATGCAAGAATTGAAGGACTCACATCCATTATTTAGAAGCATATCACATTTGCAGAACTCACTAAAATGAGACTTAGACCATTGATTTGGTGGTTTGTCAACAAACCAATCTGCCGCATGTTCATTCAAATTTCTGAGTTCTTGCATGCTCTGGTTGAATTTTTGAACCGTTGTAGCCTGAGCAGCTTTCCACAGTGCATTTTTGAAAGCTAACCCTCTAAATCCAGCATTTTTGAAGTTATTTTGTAAGTGCCTAACACAAAATCTGTTATCACTGGCGGGAAATACATTCTTAAATGCATTGATTAAACCTTTTTGTCTGTCAGATATAAAAGTGTATTCATATTCCTTCAAAATGCGTAAATCCGACTTCAAGATATGCAGAAACCACTCCCAAGTTTCACCATTTTCAGAACATACAAGAGCATATGCAATTGGAAACAAACTGTTATTAGGATCAACAGCCACAGCAGTTAGTAAAATCCCTTTATGTGGTCCTTTTAAGTGACAACCATCAACACCGATAATAGGTCTGCACCCCGAAAGAAATCCGTCTTTTAGGCCTTTAAAACACACATACATTCTGCTGAATCTTGAATTGCCAGCTTCATCTAGCTCAGTTCCCAAAATAATTGTAGACCCAGGATTGCTCCTTCGAAGCTCTTCACTGTATTCCCATAATTTGGAGAATTGTTTGTCAGATGTCCCCTGGATGTGATTAAGAGCAAGTCTTTTTGCTCTATAAGCTTGGTGAGTTGAAACATGACAGTTTAAATTTTTTATCACATCCATCCTCCAACCTTTAACATTTCTCTTCGGATCAGTCTTGAATTTGTGCAAATACTTATCTGCTAACCACTTAGACTTCATGTTTTTCACCTTAGACTTTGTTGCACAAGTGTGTTTTCGTCTGTATTCAGTGATTTGCCAACTACATCTATCTTCCATGATACGAAGATTAATTCTCCACCCGCAATCTGTAGCTGGACAAGTAGCATACATCCTCTCTTTATCATTTTTGGAAAATTTCAAGGTCCTTCTACTTCTAATAGCATGTGAAGTTACAGCCTTATGAAACTCTTTTTTCCCACTAAAGATCATCCCTAATTTAAATGTAGGTTCAAAAATAGTGGCTGGATTAAATATAGGATCATTTGACTCTTTCTTCTCCTCATCAGACAACACAGTTTCATCAAATTGTGTACCATGATATGCAATATCATCCCCACTTGAGTCGTCCGCCTCTTTGTCTGATTCAATCACAGAATCCGTTGTTCTCCCATTATCTTCAACATCTGTATCTACATTAGCCTCAAATAAATGTTCATCGTCGGTGCTCTCATATTCCATGAAGTAGTCACTATCATACAAGCAGTCTGAATCACTATCAGCATCCCCTGCTTCCTTCCCAATTGCATACTCATCCAGAACAACATCAAGCTCTTCCAACAAAGTATCACCATGCATATTAATGTTATTCAATTCTTACATATTTATAAAATTAGGAATAGTATTTAAAAGAAAATCAAAAAAGAAAAACAAAACGTAGCAACTCCACAATTTAGCAGACAATTTTCGAAAAAAGTAACAAATCCCGAAAAGAAAAAAAAATACAAGTATTAATCCATATTTCAAACAACACAACAACTTTGAGCAGCCAACTCAACCTATTTCAGAGGCCAACTTTCATTTTCATTGCATTCAGAAAGCAACTCAACAAATTTCAGAAGTTTATACATTAAATAAATACTTACCTTGATGAACAGTAGGCATATCAACCATTGGAATCCTCTCTTTAGCCGTCTGAGGACAAAACTTTGTTCTCCCCTTAATTCCGCTCGAATAATCACGTATTTTCAGCAAGTGGTGATTCCATAAACATGTTCATGAGAGATGATGGAATAATTAGGGTTTTTGTCGTATGAAGTGTGTGGTATGTTTAAAGTAAGGACGGTTTGGGAGGGAACAAAAAAAGTTGGTCCCAAGTCCAAGTCAGTTTGGCCATTTGCAAAAATCAGAACAGGTGGAGCTGACATGTCTATTTCAGACGAAATTGTTACTTTGTGGCGTAAATGTCTTCAAAATGGATAAATATATTAGTTAGAGGACATATTATGCAACTAATGAAGTTAGAGGATCAGTATTGAGTATGGTAAAAAGTTAGGGGACTAATTTTACAAATTCCCCTAGAACAAGTATCATAACTTCATAAGTAGTAAATCAATGAGATTATAGTTTATTTGTTCAAAACAAGATAAATTATTTTTAGACTTTTCTCCTTTAACATCTCTTAATCAAGTATTCCCTCCATCTTTAAAAGATCAATACAATATCTTGACACAATATTTAAGGAAGAAATATCAGGGGTGAGTAATGAATAGTGTAGAAATTGTAGGAGAGAATGTGAAAAGTAGGAAAGAGAAAATAAGAAGTAGAAAAAGTAAGAGTACGTAATTGAATACTTATAAAGGAAACTTACCAAAAATGAGGTGTAACAAATTTTTAAATGCATTTCAAATACGGGGAGAATATTATATTATGTATTTATATAAGGAGGACTGCTCAGGTCCTTCCGGAGGGACGGGAGGGACCGTCCAAACTTTACTGTTTGGGGTGGTTCCCGGTGGAATTTTTTGATGAAATTTTTTGAGCATGTTCCTCATCAAGTCTAGTTTGTCCATACTAAATTTCAGCTCAAAATTCGATCGGGAAGGCAGTCAAATAAATTCTTGAAACTCACTGCACTTTATATATGCGCAGAATGTGCAGTAAGCTTCAAGAATTTATTTGACTGCCTTCCCGGTCGAATTTTCAGCTGAAATTTGGTATGGACAAACTAGACTTGATGAGGAACATGCTCAAAAAATTTCATCAAAAAATTCCACCGGGAACCGCCCCAAACAGTAAAGTTCGGATGGTCCCTCCCGTCCCTCCGGAGGGGCCTGATCTTTTCTGTTTATATAAGAATGTAATATAATTTTAAAAACTTGGAGAACCATATATATTTAATTAAAGGGGTGGCAATCCCCGATGCACCCGCTAATTCTGTATCTACGTTGGAGGAAAGATTTACTAACATAAAATCATAAACTGTAAATCAATTGAAAATTTGAAACTAGAAAGTGTGTTATTACTCGAGTTTTTTCCCGGAATAATGCTAATTAAATAAATAATTCCCAAAATACTGCTGGGTTGAAAATAATTCCCAAAATACTGCTGGATTAATCGTGGTTAAGGAGAGCCGCCACTTGAAGTGGCGGTTTTTCGGAGGCAGTACAAGAGCCGCCACTTCAAGTGGCGGCTTTTGCAAAGAAAACTTACGTAACTAAGGAAGGCCAAAGACAAACAATAAATGGTGATGGGACTGATGGGTCCCACACAAATTTAAAATCTACCCTTTTCTTTGAAGTGGTGTAACTTTTTTATTTGTACTCTGATTGTTACAAAAAATATACCAAAATTCATAACTTTTTATTATCTTCCATTTGACACCAATATTGAATACATAAAAAAAAAAAATAACACTTCAAAAAATTAGTACGCATTTGTTTTTAAAGTGTTATATATTTTTTTATTTGTATTCCGATTATTATAAAAAAATA